TTACAACATAAAAATTGATTTTCTGAAGATCTTTTGTTTTGACAATTTGGTCCCTTTTCTCAGCACCTAGCCCATATGATTTTTGTAAACAAAAAATCTTTAAATACATATTTCTCAGCGAATTTCTGACCAATTTTACAGTAACAATTTTACTACCGTTAGAATCAGAAGAATATATTCTACAAATTTTATTATAAATTTAAAAATAAGTCGCTTAATAAAATTTTCTTTAATTATAAAAAGAAAAAAAATTTGCCATCACGATCATATGAAAATTGATCTGCGTATCCTTAATATTGATTGATTAATATAAAATTTGGTAATCTTGGGAGCCAAATACTTGAATTGGTGACCAATCGTCCGCTTAATTTCGCAAATGCGCCGTAATGGTACACCTAATTTATTTAAATGGATAACGATAATGACCAGTGAGTTTATCATTCCGGTCAATTAGCTTCGTCTCAATCTTTTTTTTAGCATTGACTTATCAAAATTACTAAATAAAGTTATTGTTAAAGTAGTTCCATACTTTTTGTCTTAAACCTTTCGAAATCAACACTAAAGTATTACTTATTACGATTTTTTTTTTTTTTACTACGTAGCATAAATTTTTATTAACGAATAAAGATTAGAAATACAGTAATTCTTTTCGACGTATAATAATATGTGGAAATTGGTAAACAATAGAGGCAGCCGATTGTCGTTCTTACTATTTTTTGTATTTGCAAAGTTTTCGATAATAATAATCTTGTGACTTCGACATTTTTTGCCATGACAAACATACCTGAACGATTTTCAATATCATTATATATACCATTTCGATTACGCCAGTTATATATGCGCGATTAAAATGATTATAGACCTACTCTTACATTAACATCCTAATATTGTATATACAGTATATATATACTTATAAACTCATTATATATTTAAATTTTAACCTGACACAATTTTAAAGAACCAATTATATTAGATTAGGATCTACCTGCGACAAATCAAAAGGAACTTGAAACATCACTAACTAGGTTAATTCTAATTCTAATCCCATGAAAGGCTTTATGCAAATTACGTTGATACTGCGAGTCTTCGTATCCAATTGTATATATCTATATATCTATATAACGATATGTAAATTTTATATTATGCCCGTACGTACGTACTGCTGAATTGTTTGCAGTACAATTGAATTTTTGATGACGTAATAAAAGGCTTTATTTACCGATTACAGGATTATAGTGATCTATGTAGTGAAAAACGGTTTTCTTTTTTTTTTTTTTGATAGCCAGCAAAACAAATTTCCAACAATAGTAGATATCAGCGATTAAGGTATGGTATAAAAAAAATTTCTTGTCTTTAGTTGAATGTTCTACATATAAGTAATAAAACTTCGAACATTAGTTGCCAGCGCCATGAGCGTCTTGAAGGATACCTCGACCGTAAATGAAGGTTGACCAATGTCACTCTTCATTGGACTATAATGTAAACTCGATATTCATTCCCATTTTTCTAACCAGAGGATGCCAACCTTCTCGTATTAATAATTGATACAAATCCAATTGTATGGAATAAGTCAAACTTTCCCCTGAAAGAGGCTCTACGTCACATTTTGGTATTCATCAACGCTCATTTGGCTCTAAAACACGATAACGATGTTGCAATAATTGCTAGTCATGTTGGTGTCAGGTATGAATAACTGAAAATAGTAGATCTAAGCCTGTAACATCAATTCATTGTTTGACATTCTTCTCAATGGCTTTTAACTGATGAAACTATAGCAAATTCTTATATCCAATACCGACACATGAAAATTCGGATAAAACGATCTTTCCTAATATGTATCAAAAATTTCGAGTTATTGATGAAAAAGTAATAGCCAATATGAGTGCGTTATTTGAAGATGTCGATACACCAAATAATTATCCAGATAAAGGTTTGGCAAATTTATATAACTAGAATGTTTTAATTAAAATAATTTCTAAGCCTTTTATCCATGAAACAATCTATACTTCAATAGCAAGTTCTATGGTCGCAGGAGCGTTATCTATGGCGTTATGTTGTATCCTATATTGTTTGATTTTCTAGTTTTAGTTTAACACTTCTTTCAGTTTACTTTGATATTCCTTATCCTTGACCATCGTGAATAGATATCAATCGTATTACGAAAGCTGATGAAATCGGTCATGTAAAATCTCGTATATTGATCATTTCAGTATCCCCGGATTCTCCTTATCAGTACATATCTATAATGAATTGTATTTTTTCCGCACAAAAATTGGTGAGTCTTTTATCACAGTATCAGAATTATCAAGTTTGAATATCGACAAATGAAAATAATGAAGTCTTTAACAATAAATTTCTTCGTTTTCGTTTGGTGACATTTTCATTTGTTTACTATCATTGACAAAAATTTTTTTTAAATTATTAGTGTATTCCCATTGATGTCTGTAAAGTCCATGGAACTGATACTCCGGTATTTTTGCAACAAGCATCGCATATAACTGGTGGAAAGTATCTGAAGCTTGATACGCCCCAGCCCCCGTCCCAGTCCCCGCCCCAGCATGGATTATTACAATTTCTAATGGTATATTTAATTTATTTACATTGGTAATAAATGCAGGCTATTATATTATTATTCATGTGTAATATATTATTGTTTACCTTAGATTGCATTTTTACCTGATCGATACAATAAAAAATACCTTTGCCTCCCAGGGGAGGAGCGTGTGGACTTTGGAGCGGCCTGTTTCTGTCATAAAAAGATTATCGATGTTGGATATGTATGCTCAGTTTGTTTGTCAAGTATCCTTAATTTAATTTGTTCCCTGTTTAGTGTGTACCAAACATGATGATATTTTCCTTAATCATTTGTAATGTATTAAAAGTATTCTGTAAACCGTTAAGTGAATGCTCAACGTGCAGGTATTTTTCTTAATTTATTATACACGCAAATTTTTAGTTATTTAAGATATTTAAAAGTACTAATTTTTAACTTCTTTCAAGGACTAAATTGACATTGATATCAGTCAAACAAAATGGGAAGATCGCTTAAGATTTTGCATAGTATTGTTTAGACATTCTATTTTATATTTCCTTAACCTGGATTTATAAATAGATGTTTATTCTGTTATGCTATTTATATTATTCATTTTTTTACTGGTTTATTATGAATTTGAAATTTGAAATAATAAATGAATATATATAATCGAGCATTATACCTACAAATTGGTAGTTGATGTAGTCTATGTAATCAATTTAAGATTGTTATAGCAAAAACAATAAGTTTGTCATTATTATTTGTTAATGCGTTATCGCTGTCGAATCATATAAAGCAAAAATTGTCAAATACTTAAAAATGTGACTCATGAACATCTTACTACCCTTCCTTAAGAGATTAAAATTGCAAGGATTATTAAACAAGGTTATTCCGCCATCCATCTCCCCCATATCTCTCATCAGCAAATAGTTGTAGTACAAGTCATAAATCACTTGTTAAATAACATATAAAATTTTATTAAATGAAATTACTTTTTGCTTACGAAATTAATTTAATTTTTAATTATTACAAAAGACCAGCTTTACGTGTAATGACTTACACGCTTTTTTTTTTTTTTTACTGTATTTAAGAAATTAATTCGGTACCTGTATTTTACAGAAAAATCATAAATAAATAAATAAATAATATTAAAACAACTTAATAATCGAAAAAAAAAGCGAAGTACTTACTTAAGCCTTAAAAATTTGTTGTGCTTAATACTAATCTAAAATCTCAAACATGAAAAATGAGTTTTTTATGAAAATAAAAGAAATTAAAGTTTGTTACAATTAAATAGATTTTCTATAGAAATTCTAATAATACAAATGCCAATAATACATAAACCAGTTTGGTCCTTTTTGTTCTCAATTTTTTTTTTTTTAATAGTCTTTGCAGATTTGCTCAATATTTTCTTTTAATGTTGTCCATATTGTCCATATTGTCCATATTGTCCACTTTGTAAACTTGCCCTTCCTATTACAATGGCTTCAGCATAACTAGGTAATTGTTCATCATCAGGATCACTTGGTCTATAAGTTACAAAGTCGTCACTTTGATCAATTGACCCGTCAAAATTATCCCTTCTACTTCTTCTTAGTGTAACTTCATCATCATGTATTTGAGATACTTCATTCCTTTCAGATTTACTTCTCTCTCCTCTTCTGAACCAACATAAAACTACAACGCCTAAAATCGTTATTAGCCCAACTGAACACAAAACAGACGCTGCGAGTATAATGGCTTGTGGTGAGCTTGCATTTGAATCTGCTGCATTAGAAGTTGTGGGTGTTGGTATTACCTTATCTGTAACGGTCATAGTTATATATGGAGTGACTACTCCTGGAGGTGTCGAGATCGCTGCTATTTGTATTGGTCCTTTATCCGTCTGTGAAGCCTGTAGAGTTGGTAAAAGTTGTATAGCTGGTAGAGCTGTTTGTGTGGCTTGTTGTGAATAGGCAGGAACGGAAGAGGCTCTTACGGAAGTGGTTCCTACGGAAGAGGTCCCTGTAGATGTAGTTTCTATTTCCTGACGCTTGATTACTTTTCTTTGTATCATTATCTATGCGAATGAATATTTTTTAATCTCTGGTTCAATTTTGATTGCAAAAATCGAGTTTAAAAAGGGGTTGAATTTGGATATAATTAACGTTAATTCCATTCTGGTTGTATTGTACAACAAAGATCGTAAAGTTAATTAGTTGCTATTTTTAATTATCAAACAAATATTACAGGTATAACTGATACAAGTAGATCATCTTTTTCAAAACGAATTTAATGTGGCACCTTTAAACTTTTTATTTGTTATATAAAATGATACATAAGTTATATATTAACTATTTTGAATGAGATTATTATTCAAAAAAGTATAACTCAAAGAAAATCCTGGTTTTTGGATTTTATTTTACAATTTATAAATTTACTGGCTTTAAAGAACTTAAATCAATTAATCCTTTAGTATGTTAAAACTCGTGATTCGCAATTAATTTTTATATAACTTTAATATATTAAATAGTAATTCCAGTCAGCCGATAGGATGCCATGTCCAGTTATATTATTTCAATAAAATTAAAATTTTAGGGCGAGCTTAAAACATTTGGTGTATCACGTGATAAAGAAGTGCGGGATATTTCTCGTACTAATTGCAATGTCTTAGGATTTCCATATACCTATGTGAAAATCGAATAATTTGGAAATTTAGATTAAACTTCGGGTCTTGAAAACTCCGGAAATCTGGGAAATATTGTGAATTCCCCATGACTGCGACCGTTCACACCTTTTTGAAAGCAGCTGTAAACTCAATAGCGATAGGGAAACAGCCTCCGGCCGTTAGTAGTAAAATGGAGAATAACTTATTTCCCTGGAGCGGAAAATAACCGTATATACGGTGCAAATCATCTAATCGCATCAAAAATGTATTAAATGTTGCGCCACTAAGCAAATCATTAATTAAGGAAA